GATTCATTGGACCTTTTGAGATCTTGGACCGGATAGGAGAGGTTGTCTACAGACTTGCTTTGCCACCGCAGATGGACAAAGTCCACAATGTCTTTCATGTATCGATGCTACGGAAGTACGAGCCGAATCCATCTTACATTTTGAGTAGGGTTGATGTGGACATTGATGAGGATGTTTCTTACGAGGAGGGACCAATTCAGATCCTTGACACACGACAGAAGGAGTTAAGGAACAAGACGATCCCTTTGGTAAAGGTTCTTTGGAGACATCACGGAGTAGAGGAGACTACTTGGGAGCTCGAACAGGAGGTTCGCTCCAAGTATCCAGAGTTATTTTCTCCCTCAGGTATGACTTAATTTCGGGGACCAAATCTTTTAAAGTTTGGGAGAATGTAATGTTTATATATATATATATATACACATGGTAAAATTTTTTTTTAAATCTGTGGGACCCACTCTTACTTTTAGTCATTACAATGACTAATAGCCATTGCAGACCCATTTTGCAGTTTGTTTCTTCTCTCTAAGATTTTTTCTCTTTCTCGGCCATTTTTTTTTTTTTTTTTCCTCCACATTTTAGGCTTGATCTAGCTTTATCCCTTTGGAATTTGGTAGAACCTTGTGAAACAAAGTTGGAGAACTCGTCGATGTCGTCAATTTGATGGGAGCCAATCACCATTTGGACAAGCATAGGGATTCCGAAATTAGGGTTTAAAATTGGGGCTTTTTCTCTCATTTGAGGTATGGGTGTTCTAATCTACAACTTCTTGGGTCTTTCACGAATTTTTTCCTTTAAATTTGATCCTAAACATGCTAATTTTTTATTACCTAGCTTGTTGTTGTTGTAGTTATGTGTAATCAAAATGATAAATGTGTTTCATGTGTTATTTGAGTTCATATACATGACTATTTTCATTACGGTAAATGAGCATGCTTAGTGTTGATATGTTGTATGTTCTATGATTTTTTTTATTGCTTTGAAAAATTGATGCTATGGTTATGAAAAAAAGAAAAAGAAATGAATGTTTAGAAATTCTTATTAAATTGTGATGATGATGTAAATGGAATGTGTGAAATCATATAGTTAAATTGATGATTTGAATTATGAAGCATTCATGCTTCCATTGGGAAAGAGAAAGGGGAAAAATATTTGTTAGAACAAACGAAATTGTTTTGGGGAAAATATTTTCTAAAAGTGTTGCGAAAATCAGACGCCTAGAAGACGCCTAGTAGTCCATGATGTTGGTGTAGTCTAGAAGGAAATGTAGTTGAGTTAACTAGGCCGGATGCGACGCTTTGGAGGTGCTTTGTGGTCGTGGATAGTTAACCAACTTTCCTCTCGTGACGCCTTGGAGGTGCCTTGAGTCGGATTACACCAATTCCATTAACAATATGCCAATTTCATTAAAATTTCATGTTGTTTAAGTTATTAGCATAAGAGCACAAATTATGTATTCTGGGATTTTAATACACTCATTTAAAATTATTTAAAACCGCCATGACCTTCCAAAACAACCCTAGAACTTCAAATTCCAACCAAAGTAGCAAAAACCCACGCACAGGTGAGTTCCCAGCAAGGGAGTCGGCTCCCTCCAAAAAGGAGCCGACTTTCACTATCATGGAGTCGTCTTTCGGCCTAAGGGAGCCGACTCCTTTCTCTATGGAGCCAGTTCTCTCCCCTGAGAGCCGTGCCGATTTGCAGAGGGAGCTGGCTCTCAACCTGCTGCAACCTTCCTTCTCCGTCTCCAACGACATTCAACCCCTCTGTTGTCCATTGTTAATGGTCCTAAGGGTCTAAACTATGTCTCGAATTATTCCAGATAATTATATGAAGTAGATATGCATCTTAAGCACAGATTAAAACAAACTATTACGCAATTTACTTCAAGATTAATCAAGAACACAAAACAACACATAAAATCAATTTTAATTTAATTTAAGCATGTATATATGATCAATTTATTCACTATTTAATCCTGGAATTATCCTAGGCATGTATAGAACACAAATCTAAGGGAAGGAGTTAGAAGAAGAACTTGCCTCAAGGTTTCAGATTGAAACCTTAACTTCTTCTTCCTAGCTTTTCCGGCGATCCCTTGGCTGCCTTCGAAGCTTCTACTGTTCAGTCCTAAACCCACAAACAAATCCCTTTCCTTCCACCCTTGGTTCAGCCTTGTGCCTTGGCCGAATTCTCTCTTCTCTCCTCACAGTTCTCTCTCTCAACTCTCTATTAATTCTCATTCTCTATATATCACGTAATATATCATATAGCCCCTTCTCACTGACCTATCTATATATATATATAGGCTAAAGGAAAACCCTAATCCTAATTGTAATCAAAGTCTAAGTCTAGAGGAAAACAAAAGAATAAGGAAAATAAAAATAAAAATATACATATACATACTCTGAACGTGATATATACTTATATATATGTAATATAAACATTATATATATATATATATATATATATATATATATATATGTATTACAAACTATTATTATTATTAACAATAAATAAATAATAGTGATTATAACCATCTATATATATACATATATACCCATATATGTATGTGCACTATTCATCGGTAAATATTCGTACCCATTCAACTCCTATCTAAATAGGCCATGAAACCTTAATGGTTGTTCCATTAGTACTATCCATAACCCAACTCCTTTATATATAAAACCTAAAACAAAACATTTAAATCCTAACAATTAAATTACACATAATTGTACATCATTAGATAACAAATAATTCAGTTAAATCATTTAAATTCAAATAAACCAAATAAGCCCACAAATTACATTTAAACACTTAATTGAATTAAACACATAAACAAATAATCAATTAAATAATTTAAAAATGTAAATAAAACAATTAAATAAATACTGAGACTATCATTCTATAATTAAGGGTATTACAATGAGTGAATGAGTAAGGTTTTGACATCTGATTGTATATTTTTTTTTCTTTGATTCATCATAGTGAAATCTCTCTCTCAATGAACGTAGCCCTAAAGTTAAGCGAACGATGTAAAATCTTGTTTTATGCGTGATGTTGATCGTGAGGTGCTATGGAGATTTAATTAGAGTTGATGATGACACGAATAAGATAGTTGGTGTGAAGACATAGGCCTATGAAGAACAAGTCTTTAGATAAGCAGTAGGATACTTGTTTTCAAGATTTGGCGAAGTTAATAGTGTGAAGCCCATAAGGAACAAGTCTTGGGACAAACCGGAAGATGCTCGTTTTCAAGGTGGGGGGAGGTGATAGGGGTGAAGCCCATGGGGCAAGGGTGTGAAGAATGAAAGGGGTTTGCTCTAAACCCGATAAAGAGAAAAAGGGAATATGAAGAATGAAGAGGAGATGTTTGTTGCTCTGAGCGAGAAAAGCAATTTGATGAAGATGAGTTGAAAATTGGTGGGTTGCCATGTATGAGTAATTGAACACTATTGGGGTGGATAGATAATATAGAGAAGAAGAAACATGATGAATTTGAGAAAGTGTGGAGATTATTGAAGTGTTTCTCAATTTCATCGTAGTATTTTCTTTGAGGTGAAGAAATCTTCAGTTGAAGGAGAGCTATGAAGAGTTTGAGGTGGAGCTATAAAAAGATCCTTATTCGAGGTGGAGTTATGGTGGAGCACGTGAAGACATAGTCTGATCATGTGTTGATTGCATGAAGAATTGGGATACTCAAATTTGCTGATTTTGGTGTCTACGTTGGATACTGAAATATTGTAACTTGCGGAATTGGTTTCTGCGTGTGATGTTGTAGATTTGGGTTTGGCTACTGCCAAAGTGCAACTGGTTCCATGGGGCGGAACCGGTTCCACTTGGAAGTGCAGTTTTTTTGTTGGCTTTAATTACTGCCAAAGTACAGCCGATTCCATGGGGCAAAATTGGTTCCACTTGGGTGTGCATTTTTTTTGTTGGCTTGCCAAAGTGCAACTAGTTCCATGGGGTGGAATCGGGTCCACTTGGGCTGTGAGTTATTGGGAAGTTGAGAAATAGTTTTCTAATCAGTTTTGGAAGTCAGAATAAATTGTGCTTATTATTTTAGAGTTGAAAACTGATATGGTAACTCCTTGTAGGCAAGTTGAGGAATACTTGTCCAATAAGGAATCGAGTTTTGAAGACTATAAATAGAGATGGGTATGAAAGGTTTATAGAGAGAAGTGAGAAAAGATGTAAGGGTTTAAGGGTGAGTGTTGTGAGGAGATGGGAGATTATATTTAATTCTTGCGTGTATAGATGTAGCCTCAAAGAGATGATGAGTGAGTAAGTGTGGTTTTGTCATCTGCTTGTATATTCTCTTCCTTGATTCATAATAGTGAAATCTCTCTCAATAGATGTACCCTTAAAGTTAGGTGAACAATGTAAAATATTGCGTTGTGCGTGAATGTGTAAGATTGTTAATATATATGCTTGTGTTGATGTGATGCAATAATATTTTCACTGTGTGCAATGAAGGAGAAATTTAATTCTTAACAATAGCATACCATTGAATGTGTCGAAGGAAGTTAATTATTCCCAACAACTACAACTTTCTAAATTTTCCAAAACTTCACAATTCTAGAAGACTTTGTTACACATGCCAAAAATTTCCACTCATTGCTTGCGTGTCGCCTTAGTGGCACAACCTCCTTTGACGAGGCGTGACACTATATGCTCAAGCTTGGAGTGCACTGGGATGAATTATACATATTGGAAACACAGACAACAACATTGTCATATTGGCTTATGAATTATGATGGATCTCTCTCAAAGGGACAGAAATGACCAGTCAGGTTCCTGATAACACAGGACCAACCCAGCTTACACCAAAGAATTAAATCAATTGTCAATTTACATTAATATGATTCCATTGCACCATTTGGACTGTAATTTTCGCTCCAGAACCTTTTGATCTTTATTTCTCATAAAGATGACGAGAAATAATAAATTGCTCTAGTGTATGTCCTGCCTAAAGGGGTCGCAAAGAAGAGAAAGACAAGACATTCACAAATTACACATGCATACGCACAATAACATTACATAACAGAGTGTATAACAACTTTAATTTTATTAATGTATGCAAAGCAAGCATACATGCTGACCACAATTATTCTGATACGTAATACATTAACAAACCCATACATGTATTCCCAGAAATTTCGCCCGACTTTTGCACCGAAGAAACATTCAGAAAAGGCATTAAGCCACTTATTTAGTACATAGTTCTAACCACCCGCCACAAAATTTTCTACTGGGGCTGCAAGGAAATAAAGAATTCAAGAGTTAGCACTTTAATCTCCTTTGTCTAGAGCAAAGAAAATCGGAAGATTTTAGTTTTATTTGGAGCCATTACCAAAAACCGGTGCTTGTAATGATCAATAAGCAGTTTGGGATCAGCTTTTGTATACTTGTAAGCATCAACATTGTTCATTTCCTGCAAAGTAATCCGTGAATTAGAAACATTGGCAGTTGATATCCAAGAACCATCCCCTATCGTCAAACTATGCATAAATCAACAGTTTAGCCGCAATACAAATCACCTAACATCTAGTCCTTAAATAAAAGGGAAAGAAAGAGAGGAAAAGAAAAGAAGTTGAATTACATGCATGCAAAAGATATGTTGTTGTTGGCATGTTGCTGCTTTGCTAAAAAATTTGGACTCAGAAAACAGCCTTTACCAAAAGGGTAGCGAAAAAAGGGAAATAATCTTTATGATGAAAAACACACACACGCAGACTGGCAAAGTTAAGCACTTCTTCGACAAAACAGTACAAGCAAAAGAAATTTGGGGAAACTGATGGACTACATTCATGGCACCATCTCTATGTAGGCAGTTTTGGGCTTTTTGAGCTAACGGGAGGTAGCATTAGCTATATATCTACTTCATGACTACACACTGTGTCCAAAGACATGAAAGAGGGAGTGACATTTCCAGAAATGTTTTATTGCTTTCAGGGACTAGAAAATGACGACATCCACTAAGCTGCTCCAACTGATATGTAGACAACCAAAACCACCTCTGCCCACAAACAATTTTTTAAACCAAAGAACTAGTTGCATTGGTGTCTACATATTACTGGATGGAGAGGGGCATCTTGATACACCATGCAGCAGAGATTTTACACAAAATGAATTCACAATGTGCCAGTAAGTATGAACGTACCTCAATCCATGAAGTTAGCTTAGGTCTGCCTAAAGTGAGGTCATACTTCCACACATCTAGCAAGTAGAGTCGGAATCTTTCAATGAACGGAATATAGGCAATGTCCACCTGGAGAACACAAATTTGAGTCATGATTAACAGAATTTTGAAGTTACACACAGAAGTGTCCATTTGTTAGCTTGTTTGTCAAAGCGGGCTCTCTAAACATGTTATATCTGCTCACATGGTGACAGATCAATGTTTTATTTAGTCTGTTATTGAAAATAAATTGGATATTTTAAATGCTTCATATAGATAGATTTTCAGATGTACTCATATGGCATTGAGAAACACTGGAAACATACTTACTGAAGGAAAAAATAATGGAAACATGGATTAAAGTTCACTTACCATACTGAATTGGCCGAGGAAGAAAGGCCCATCAAATTTATCAAGAGCACTTTCCAAGTAATCAAATGTAGCACCTAATGCAAGTTAGAGATTCCGGTTAGGTTTATACACAGAAGTGCTGTCATGTATTACACGACAATGGCAAAATGCAGCAATTAAGTTTAAAATCTCACCAACTTCTTTCGGTGCATCTCCTTTAAATGCACTAAATATGGCTTTGTTGCATGTGTCAGTGTAGGATAACAACTCATTAGCAAACTCCAGTTTGATAGGATCCTATAGATAACAACATTACTTAGGTCAATTTTTAAAAATTGAAGAGAGAGAGAGAGAGATGCTCCATCAAGGGCAAAGACAAATTTTGTTGTCTTACCTCGGGCAATAGTGCAGGCCCTTCAAAGTGACTTTCAATATATTTAACCAAATCTAGACTCTCTGACATGATTTTGTTATTGTGTTCGAGTGCTGGTACCTGTATAAAAAATGGAATTCATATAAAACAGGAAGACGGAAATATTTTTTTTAAAACATTAGATAATATGTTGATAGCTGTCAAGAATGATCACTTTCATGAGCATTCACAAGCACTTTTACAAAATAAAGTGGGTTAATGAGTCCCGGTATGGGGTTTCACTTCACACTCAGGAAAACATGTTCAAGGTGCCAAACTAGCAACACTGAAAGTCGTACTAGTGACCAAGTTCTAAAATGTTTTGACAAAATTTCTAATCATCACTTTAATAAATTAAAAAAAAAAAAAAAGTGTTAAAAAATTGCAAAAAAGTGTTAAAAATAACACTAAATGGAAGGGGAAAAAGTATGTGATGAATTAATCATAAATTTCATAAGAAGAAAATGAACTGATGATTTATTGGTAGAATTAATTAAGGATGAAACATATTTTTCTGAAAAGCCACACGTTTTATAATACGTATAAGCTATGGTGACCAAACGACTTTATCAAGTAAAAGAGTTGATGAAAAGAAGCATATAGTTTTGAGAGAATGGCACCTTATTTTCAGGATAAACTTTCTCTTTGTACCATGCAGGCTTATTATGAAGGTCAATAGGAACCAATTTGATCTTGTCTTGTAATCCCTGCATCTCAAAAATAAATAAATAAATAAACTGGAAATATAATCAAAATATACAAATAAAGGCAAAGTAACATCTGGTATTCTCACACCCCTTTAAGATCTTTTGTAGGATTTATCTTTTGTCGAGTCCATTTTTGGACTGAATATCTCCCCCAAACTTGTAAACAACACCAAAAATGGAGTTTTTATTTTATTTTTATTTAAGAGATAGCACTGAAGGCTAAGCCCTTCATGGTACACCAAAAATCAAGTTGAATTGAGACTCCCAAAGACAGTGACACTGAATTAGGTTTCATTTTTATATATTTTTAAAGAAATGTGATTTTGTGGATTGGATACTTTTATATGCCAAATCAGCTTCATATTCAGATACATAAGTGAAAAACAGAACAGAGGTTTCTAAATCAATGACTTTGAAACAATATAAATCCTACAAACCTTGTAGTTTCTGGTAACCCACACACGCTGTGCATATGGACAAATGTAACTCATGTACAACCTTCAAGAATTAATAAAACACAATTTAATTAGAATCGGAAATGATGATACGGAAAATTCAAATTCAGGGTAACAAATTCATCAAGCACCCAAATGGGAAAATACCCAATATAATGATATATCAGTAGATCCTATCTATGTATGTGTTTTTGGGGGTGTGTGTGTGTGTAGGGAGAGAGAGGTTATACCTAGTGGTTCCATCAAAGACCGTAGGTGGTTCAGAATTAGGATCCACAGATGGGGGAAGATACTCTTGCACGCACCTGATCAGAAGGAAAAAAAAAAAAAAACCATTACAAACATTAGTTTTGCATATTGATCAAGACATACAAGTATATTATTTACATATGTACACACACAAACACACACATACACAAAAACATGAAGAAATGTGAGAGAGATGGTTGAGAGCTTACGCGGAGGCCATTACTGCTCTGGTGAGAATAGAATTGAGAATCGAATGTGTAGCTTTGTTTCTATAGATGAGAGTATATGCGTATTGTGTGAGATCTGAGAAAGCAACCCAAGCTTTTTATATAGTCGATATAGGTGTAAAGACCCTGTTTCATTGTCAATGTTAGAGGAATAGAACAAGTCTATGGAAAAGTTTAATTGTTTTGACCCGGCGGGCTGAGTTGCTCCATTCCACACGTTGAGATAAGAATCTAAGGAAACAGTAAATTAGTGCCTGGTCTGGACCGTTGGTAGACTAGACTAGACATGCTGGTAATAAAATAACATGTCTGCTTAGATTTCTAATTGTGACACAAAAATATATACAAATCATAAATGGTATTTTTTTTTTTTTTTTTCTGTTCATTTTGTCATGACAAAATACAAAAGAAAATATGAGAAAAAGTAATAAAACAAATCATAACATTCTGATAGTTCTTAGATTTTTAATTTACTTAAGAGAAAATTTAACAAAAATTAGTATTTAATGCAATGTTGAAAATTCGGACCATTAAATATAATATCAACGAAAATAATGTTAAAAGTTAAGTCTGTTTTTTCTTTTTCTTTTTTCTTTTTTCAACGCATTTTCATCCATCACCTCTGCAAAATAAAGATCACTTCAAATTGGTTTCTCAAATTAAAAAATGTATATTTTTATTATTTTGCTATTTTAATTTAGAAAAATATATTTGTTTTGTGTTTACAAAATTTTGTTGTTAGAGTTGTTTTACATCATATCTTAATGAAAAGTAAAATACATATAAATGAAAAAATATATAGTATTATTCAATAATTTAAATTTTTTAATAAATTGACAAAGTATACATATTCAATAATCATAAATAATAAATAATATTTAAAAAAGATTCAGATATTTTTCATATTTATGGATATCATGGACATGTGTGATAGGGCCAGAAAGTTTCACATTCATGAATGTCAAACTTGTCAACTGGAATATTAAATTAAGTTGCTGTGAACTTGTGAAATATATAAATATAACAAACTTTTCCAGATTCAAACGCCGAGTGTTACGGTATTGACCAAGTGTTGAACACCAAGTGTTACGGTATTGACCCGATTGTAAAAGTCGAGCAGTCATGCGTCAACTTATTTACCCCCAAAAATAAAAAATAAAAAAGCCATGCGTCAACTGTTTGAATATTGATGTATTTTTACCATTTGGAACATTGAAAGATGTTATTTTATTCTAGAAGTACCTGCCTCTCGAGTCTCCATTACTATTCAGCTTTTACAGCAGATGTTATTCGCCTTTAATATTTGCAAGATTAATAATATATATATATATGCGCTCGAGCATACACACACTTGCAAGAAAAATTTATGATAATTGTATAATTTCTCCTCCAATTTACTAAATTATTTTAGTTTATAGGAAATTAGACTAAAAAAAGTAATTAGATATTTATTATTATTTTACTTTTATTTATCATAATTACACATCAATGGTGGTCGCATGCATAACAAAATATCGTAATTCAAAGTTGTGTTTGAAATTACGAGATTTAATAAAATATAAATTCTAAAATGAAATTTATTTCATTCAGAATTGATGGAATTGGAAAAGGAATTAAAGTTAAAGAAGATATATAATATTAAAACGGCAAGAAAAATCAACCAATTTCATAAGATTCTGAAATTCTTAAACTATTGAAAAAATCACTCTAGTTTTTTTGTAAACGCATAAATGGAATTGCATGTCAAATTCTTTCATTTTCTTAGTTTTTTAAAATCCAATTTTCAAAATGGTTTGATTCAAACCGCGTGGTTTCAGTTAGTTAAAAATTTTGGAAGGAAGGAAGGATTGTTTTTCCATTTGATCATTCAATTCCAAAATATTTCCTTTCTTTCTCGGCAACCAAATAGACACATGTGATCAGACTTGAAGTTTGATTATTTAAGAAGAAAATTTAAAGAAAAAGAAACAAAAATTCTAATAGTAATAAGATTAAAGTTATTGCTAGGTTGTCTTTGTCACTTTTCTTTCACCATTCCTGCTTAAGAAAGGACTTTTCTTCTTCCATCATTTTTTAAAATATAAAATAAAAAATAAATTATTTCCATTCCATCCTTGTCCACTCTGTTGTGCTCTGGTCGCCGGTACAATTATTTTTGTATTTCAAAATTATTAATATAAGAAAATTAATTATTATTATTATTATTATTTTAAAGTACGTGTATCGATTCCATAACATACAGAAATGCAGTTCAAAAACGAAATTTTAAAAATTTACCTTTCAAATCCCTACCAACACCTTTATGTCCCTAACAGACAAGAATATCAATTACTTTATTTTATTTGATAGAAAACTCAATTAGCTTTCAGAATGCAGATTAAAAAAAAAAAAAAAAAAAAAAAAAAAAAAAGGCAGGTATGACATGTCCAAGTACATAAAGTCTTAATCGCAAACGACGTCGAAAGAAGAATGTTTGTGTCCAAAGAACATGATCTTTTCTTTTGGAAGACCAATTGATTTGACTTGACATTGGGTCAAATTCATCGCCTCTAAAATAGAAAAGCTACATCAAACAATAAGGCAAAGAAGAAAAGAAAAGAAAAGAAAAGAAAAGATTTTGAAGAAAATTAAGGCAAAGAAGACAAATGTAGCATCATACAAGCTTGTATAGTTGTATGTACAATCCCAAGGGGGTTGAATGGTTGATTTGAATTTTTTTAATAAAATATTTTAATCACGGTGGATTTGAATTCACCTGGTCATAAATGGGGGTTCCATTTTTATCATCCTTCAACAATTATTCTTAGAAACTTGAGGAATAACCAATACTGGTCTTACCACAACTTACTTGAAATTTGGAATTAATTTGTTTATATTTCATGTTTTCTTTTCTTTTTCTATCCATGATATAATACATTTATGTAAAATACCTAAATTAATTTGTGAAATTTAAATTTTGAGTCTGAATTCTCTACAGTACAACACAAGTGTTTTACTACATCTAAGGTCGTTCACACGTGTAAAACTTGTAGACAGCCAAATATAATAGTAATAAATTGGATGTTTTCTCTAATGGGTTAGACAAATGAAAAGTATAGCCCAAGAAATTACACGCACACACAATGACATTACATAAAAGATTGCATAACAACTTTAATCTTATTAATGAATGTATGTAAACAAGCTTACAAGCTGACCACAATTATTCTGATACATAATACATTTAACAAATCCTTTCCTAGCAAAGTCTCCTCACTTCTGAACTACTGAAACATTCAGAAAAGTCATTAAGCCACTCATGTCGCACACGGTTCGAATCACCCGCCGCAAAATTTTCTACTGGGGCTGCAAGGAAATGAAGAGAAATTCAAGAGTTAGCACTTGAATCTGCACTCTCTAGAGCAAAGAAAATCCGAAAACTTTTATTTTTATTTAGAGACATTACCAAAAACCGGTGCTTGTAATGATCAATAAGGAGTTTGGGATCAGCTTTTGTATACTTGTAAGCATCAACCTTGTTCATTTCCTGCACATTAATCCGTGATTTAGAAATTAATATTGTTCGTTAATATCCGACAACTTTGTCAAAATGGTAGCTTGCAACCCCTTTTCAACAAAACAGAATTCACATGTGTCTGTAAGTATGAATGTACCTCAATCCATGAAGTTAGATTCGGCCTGCCTAACGTGAGGTCATACTGCCACACATCTAGCAAGAAGAGTCGGAATCTTTCAATGAACGGAATATAGGCAATGTCCACCTGGAGATCACAAATTTGAGTCATGAATAACAGAATTTTGTGAAGTTACACACACATTATGGCATTGAGAAACACTAGAAACATACTTACCGGGAAAAAAGAAAACGAAAAGGAAACACGGATGAAAGTCACTTACCATACTGAATTGGCCGAGGAAGAAAGGTCCATCAAATTTATCAAGAGCACTTTCTAAGTGATCAAATGTAGCACCTAATGCAAGTTAGAGATTCCGGTTAGGTTTATACAAAGAATTGCTGTCATGTATTAACATGACAATGGCAAAATGCAGCAATTAAGTTTAAAATCTCACCAACTTCGTTCGGTGCATCTCCTTTAAATGCACTAAATATGGCTTTGTTGCATGTGTCAGTGTAGGATAACAACTCATTAGCAAACTCCAGTTTGATAGGATCCTATAGTATTATAACAACATTACTTGTGTCAATTTAAAAAAAATTGAAAACACAGACGAGAGAGAGAGATGCTCCATCAAGGGCGCGGACAAATTTTGATGTCTTACCTCGGGTAGCAGTGCAGGCCCTTCAAAGTGACTCTCTAGATATTTAACCAAATCTAGACTCTCTGACATGATTTTGTTATTGTGTTCGAGTGCTGGCACCTGTATAAAAAATGGAATTTCATATAAAACAAGAAGAGGGAAATAATTTCTCAATTAGGTAACATGTTGATAGCTGTCAAGAATGATCACTTTTCATGAGCACTGATCATAAGGCATTCACAACCGAGTTTACAAAATGAAGTTGGTTAATTCCAACACAGAAAAACATGTTCAAGGTGCCGAACCAGCAAAACTGAAAGTCATAGAAGTGACCAGGTTCTAAAATGTTTTGACCGAATTCCTAATTATCACATTTTTTACTGCTACCAGTGACACGTAGATGAAGAAGATGACCGTAACATAACATATAACATCCTAGAAAAGGGTTAAAAATAACATTAAATGGAAAAAAGTATGTGATGAAATCATATATTTCATAAGAAGAAAATGAACTGATGATGATTTATTGGTAGAATGTCTAATTAACAATGAAACATATGTGTCTGAAAAACCACTAGTTTTATAATACATATGAGAACTTTATGAAGTAAAAGAATTGATGAAAAGAAGCATATAGTTTTGAGAGAATGGCACCTTATTTTCAGGATAAACTTTCTCTTTGTACCATGCAGGCTTATTATGAAGGTCAATAGGAACCAATTTGATCTTGTCTTGTAATCCCTGCATCAAATAAATAAAGGGAATGAAATCAAAATATCCATATAACGCCAATATATATATATATTTTCTTTCTTTCGTACTTTTTAAGAAATACCGCTTAGGCTAAGCCCTTCATGATACACCAAAAATCAAGTTGAAACGAGACTCCCACCGAATTTGACACACTGAACCAGAGTTCTATTTTTATGTATTTCTTAATAAATTTTGTGGACTGGACACTAATATATGTCGAGACAACAATATTCAGCATGCATAAGTGAAAAGCAGAACTGAGGATTCTAATTTAATGAGTTTGAAACAATATAACTCCTAGAAAAAATTATCATAATTTGTAAATTGTAATAACACATCAGGTGTAGGATAAAAGTTCATCTTCACCATGGCACACACTATAAAATTGATTTCGCTCTTATACCATGTCAATAGAAAATTAACGCTGGATAAAAATACTTAATTAAAGAAAAGAAACATTACAACGCAGTGATGAAGAGACCGAAACAAACCTTGTAGTTTCTGGTAACCCACACACGCTGTGCATATGGACAAATGTAACTCATGTATAACCTTCAAGAATTAATAAAACACAATTTAATTAGAATCTGAGATGATGATACAGAAAATTCAAATTCAGGGGAACAAATTCATGAATCACCCAAATGGGAAAATACCCAATATGATGATGTATCAGTAGATCCTATCTATGTATGCGTTTTTGGGTGTGTGTAGAGAGAGAGGTTATACCTAGTAGTTCCATCAAAGACTGTAGGTGGTTCAGAATTAGGATTCACAGATGGGGGAAGATACTCTTGCACGCCCCTGAAAAAAAATAAAAATTCACTATTAGCACATTGATATAAAAAATACACTGATTATACTTGTGAGTCATTTCCCAAAGATACTTTCTTTTTTGAATAGAGGGAGTATATATATATATATGCATGCGCACAAACACACATATACACATATGAAGAATGAGAGAGCTTACGCGGAGGCCATTACTGTTCTGGTGAGAATTGAATTGAGAATGGAATGAGTAGGTTTGATTCTATAGATGAAGGTGGTGAGCATTTATGTATTGTGTGAGAAATGAGAAAGCAATACAAGCTTTATATATACTCCAGATATAAAGACTATGATGTTTCATTGTCAATGTTGAAGAATAGAATAAGTCTTAATGGAAGAGGTTGAGTCTTTTGACCCAAGGTGGGCTGAGTTGCTTCATTCTACGCGTTGAGGGAAGAATCTAAGGAAGATTGGTCTGGACCAGTTTGTAGACATGCTGGTAATAAAATAATACGTCTGCTTAGATTTCTAATTGTGACACAAAAATATATACAATTCAAAAATGGTTTTTTTTTTTTTTCAATCATCAAATAAACAAAAGAAAATATGAGAAGAAGTATTAAAATAAATCAAAACCAATCATTTGGATAGTTCTTAGATTTTTAATTTATTCAGAAGAGAAAATTTAAAGATAATTATTTAATGCAATGTTGAAAGTTCGGACCAATACAGTGGTATTATTTTACATCTCGCATCCCATTACAGTGAGTCTCTAAACATAAATACATAAACGTCATTTTGGCTTTTAGAAATTTAGCCTACTGCTGCGGTGTTTGTTTATGGCTGTTTAGATTTTTTTTATAAACAAAATAAATATTAACAAACATATATTTTTTTTAAAATATATGCTTGAATAAACAAAACTGTAGAATATTACATTTCCAATAATATAAAGTCGTAATTGGAAACCACGTTGAAAGAAGAATGTGTTTTTTTTTTTTTTTTTTTTTTTCCTTTCCCCCGGAAGATAAATTGTCACTTGAATTGACTTTGGGTCAACTTGATTACAATGTTTAAGAAACCCAAGAGGTTGAATGCTTGATTTGAAATCATCTGGTCAAAAATGGAGGTCCCATGGGTTTTTTAAAATGCCTTCAGGCCAGGCCAGGCCCGTTGAACAGCCAGAGCCCATCAGGCTCGGTCTTGGGATGGCCTGGGTTCCCAAAACAGCAGTCCGGCCCGGCTGCCCCATTATGCACCCTTTGCCTTGGTGCCGAAAAAGAACCAAGGTATGATGGTATATCATATTCATATATTCATGGAACTTGGAAGTAACACCTCACATTCGAAATTCTCCAGAGTCACTGTTTCCTACTGTGTTAGGGCTCTCTGTTCATTAGAGTTTGGTGCTGATCCCAGTTTGTGATGCTGTCTATTGGATGGATTCTGTCTATTATCCTCTCCGTCGCTCCTCTTGTTTGTCCAGACGGAAGGGCTCAAGGGAGTTGCGGGGCTTAAAATTAAGGATTCCGCGCAGTGGATGGATTGGGACCAAATCTTTGCTGCTCTTCCCTTTTGATCCTGATATTGCGTCTCTTTCTTTTGTTTTACTATCTACTGTAATTTATTTCTTGGTTTTTATTGTTTTCAGGGTAGTATGTTGGCCTTTTTTTTCCTCCTTCCATGGATGGGAAGGCCTATTTTGGGTAACTGGGCTTTTCGATTGTTGCCATACTCGGCGACGTTTTTCTGGGGAGGTCGTTGATTCTGTGGTTGAAGAATGGCAGAGGCTGTCTTTGCCTTTTCCGTCTTGGTATCGTTGGCGTTTCCCCTCTAATTATCAAAGCCTTTTTGGGCACATCTGGACGACGAATTTCATCAAGCTTGCAAGGGCGATGTTTATGCTTCATCAGAGCTGGAGTTTACCGGCCTCTGTTATATTTTTTATGACCATGGCGCTTTTGCTATTGGTAGCAATTGGAATCACTCCTTCAAGGTTTCACATGATCATCAATGGCTTTCTTATAGCCATGACTTTACTCGTCAAGTCCCTTTGTTGGACATATACTACCTGTTACCGTCTTGGTCGTCGGAGACATCACGGTGTCCCTTGGTTGTGGCGTTTCCCAGTGATGGTGGCGTCATATGACGTAATGACGACGTTGGTCCTTTGACGTATGGAGCAAGCTGGGTGTGCAGAGGACCTGGAGAAGTTTCTGGATTGCTTGGTTTGGCCTTAGGTCAAAGCCCTGTCAATGATCATGTTCCTCACTTGGGCTATAATCAGGCCACTTTGTTATGGCTCCTATTTGCCTGAGCCCAATGGCTGGTCTTATGCATCATTTTAATGTGGATCCGTTTAGAATCTTCGTCCTTAGGATGAACCGATTTGCGCTTCTTGTAATGTAGAGCATTTGCTCAGAGTGCTTGTATTTTTGGATTAAAAAATGTGGCCTGGTCCACCGCCTTGCCTTAGCAAAGATGACTTGTGTATTGTTTTTATGTTTTTATAATATGTTCAATGTTTGCCGGGTAATATATATATATATATATATTCATGTTTAAGCCTTCAAGTTTAGTGAACTCTTAACCAGATTTCTAATTGCAGCTAAATTCTATTCTAATGGTTACCATCTCACTAAGACGTGGTTATGACATAAACTACATCAGTGATACATGTTTGTGGGAGATTATATCAGTTACACGGATATTTTAGTTGAACAGAAAAAATATAACTCAGAATAGCATCTATTTTAACTCTTTTTCTAGAGAACTGTTTTCAGATCATCATCATAAATCAAACAAGTTTTCTTTCCTTTTTTTTTTTTCCCCGGTTATACAACAATGGAAAAACTATACACCAAATAACAATCCCTTATACCATCAAAAGAAAATAATGCAATAATACAAATTAAAACAAAACAAGGGACTTAATATCTTCAATTTTATTAATACATCGGAAAACATACGGTTTTACTTAAGGTATGCTAGACAGACATGCCATCCACAACCTCTAAACTGTAGGAATACGCCCTTTCCTTTTCTGTTTTTTTTTTTTCCTCCCCGTGCCCCCAAAAAAAAAAAAAAAAAAAAAATTTAAACCAAGATATAATACATTCATGTCAAGCACGCAAATCAATTTGTTAAATCTAAGGGTGTGTTTGGATTGATAGGGGAGAAAAGAAAAGATAGTATTAGTTAGGAAAGAAAAGAATAAAAATGATAGTAATAATTTCTATTTGTGTTTGGATAGACAAAGGAGAAAAGAAAAGAAAAGAAAAAATAGTTATTCTTGTTTGGATAAGACAGAGGACAGAAAAGAAAAGAAAAGGTAGTGACCAAATTACTGTCTTACCCTTTCATAACCACTTCACACATTTTTTGTATAATGATTTTATGAAGAGTATTTCTGGTATTACGAATTAATCACTTGTTCCACTATCCTTTCTCTCCTTATTTTCTCAAATTAGGAGAGAAAGTAAATGAAGGATAGGGAGAGACTATCCCTCCCTCTCTCTCCCTATTCTCTCTTTTCTCTCCACTTAAGCCATTCAAACACACTCTCATCTTATCCTTTATTTTCTTTTCTCTCCTTATCCCTCCAAATCAACCTTACCAAACACACCCTAAATGCTGAGTTTGGATTCTCTACAGTACAACACAAGTGCTCTACTGCATTTGAAGGTCCACTACAAATACAACACAAGTACTCTATTGCATTTGAAGGTCCACTACGATCACATGTGTAAATGAGAATTGATAAATTATAGAAATAACATCTCCCCAAGTTTGAAATTAAAAGAGAAAATAATGAGAATCATTTCCAAGTAATCAATGAGACATGACTGGTAAAAAACGTTACATATGTGCTAGTAATTTTTTGAAGAAAAGATTCAAAGAAATGAACAATTAAAGGATCAAGATATCATATTTCATGTAAAACAAATCAATTTGTCACCTCTAGATACTGTATAGACCAACATTGGATAAGCAATTCATTTTCTTAACAATCATCTTTTGACTTCTTCCTTCCTTGTTGATACAGTGATAAAACCAGCGATTTGGTTTCACATTAACCACTTGGGACTGCTGAAACTGATCTTTAGCCTCTGGTAACCATTCCAATACAGTGCCAAATCTCATAAAGGAAACACAAGAAACAAAAAATAATGTAATACTAATACAAATTAAAACATAACAAGGAGCTTGATAACTTCGATCTTATTAATGTAGGATAGACAAACTCATACACAACCTATAATCTGTATTCCTGGCTCACAGGCCTGGTGTTTAAACATGGACACTTCTGCTTCCACATAAAACAACTTATTTAGTATTACGTCGAGACCGCCACCAAAATACTCACTGCTGGGCCTGTAAGGAAGATAAATTTTATGACTAAGCACTTTTTAACTTTCTCACAAGCAAAGAAAATGCAAAGGGATTGTTATTTTATTAGAGAGTGAGGAGGGTTTACCAGAAACCGCTTCCTGTAGTACTCAACAAGCTCCTTGGGATCAGTTTTTGTTTGCTTATAAGCATCAATCTTATTCAACTCCTGCACAGGGAATCAAGGGTCAGTAACATTGTTATCAGTCTCCTGCATCCCCTCTCATATTCTTACTTACTGGAAGAAGTGCATTCTACAAAAAAATAACTGGATTGTCCAATCGAAATGCAGGCAAAAGAAATCTTCACTAACACTATGCTTACAAAAATGTATTAAAAAAATGTTCCTCGATCAACACACAATTCACAAAGAAACAACATAAATCTTTCATGAGAGAGTAGACAGAAGAAATCAAGAGAGAATTTGATAAAGCAGTTAAAGCAAAAGATATCTGCACAAACTAATGAAATCGTGCACGTTGCACCATATCTTTGGAGGCAGGATCTGGAGTTTCAAGCCAAAGTAGGTATATCCATTATGCATATGCCAGACTACAGTACCCACTTATCTAAACATATTTAAGCACAAAGGCATCACTTCCAGAATTGTTTGGTTGCTTCCAAGGTTTTAAAAGTGACTGCAATAAGCTACACTAGGGGTGAGCAAATAATCCGTCAATCCGGTCCGAACCAATCCGATCCGTGTGGTTCGGTTTGGTTTTCAGATCTAATGGTTCGGTGATGGTTTGAAAAATCTGCAATCCGGTATCTGCGGTTCGGTTAACGTATTTTTTTTTTCTTTATTCATTTTTCTATTAATGTTAACCTAACCCTAACTGAGCCTCGATTCTTCATTACTCACTTTACTCCAAGCGCCTCCCTCACTAACTCAGCCTCTTCTCGCCTCCGTAAGTCTCGCCTTTGTCTTCCTCTCGCCTCACAATCTCTCGTCTCTCAATCCAACACCTCTCAACCATCGTTCACCAGATTCGAAGCAACGGCGACCTTTGCGTATCGAAGCAACGGCGACCTCTTCGACTGGATCTACCTTTTTTCCGGTGAGTTCACAAGATTTTTGCATGGATCTTCTTATTCTCCTCTTCTCTGAACCAAATTTTTTGTATAGTTTTATATATATATTTTTTACTTAATTTTCTCCAAATTTTGTTGATTTTTCCGTTGTACTCCTTACCAGGGTTAATATTTTCAATAGAATTGTCAAAAATATCATATCACGAGGTAGATCTAGATGGTTTGCTACTTTAACCATGAGCTAAACTTTTTTGTGGTTCAAAGGATTTTCATCTTGTCAGAGCCTGTTGGGTTCTACACAATCGTCCAACTTCACTTTTTGAAATCCAACTTCTCACTGTTCCACACAATCATATTATTAGGAATTTTGCTATAATAATAGAAATGCAAAGGAAACTAATATTATTAGAAATCCACGTATCATGATTTTTTTCTTTTAGGGCTGAATTTTCCACTCCACTGATTTACAAACATGTTTAATTCTCACTGCAATCTTCCACTAATTTTTGTAGCAATTTCTTTTCCTGGCAGATGACAACTGGAGAAGAGATACTAATGTTTCAAGGCCTGAAGCCCACAATCAGCCCAATCCGAGGAACCGATCCGAACCGGATTAAATGCATCCACGGATCGGATCGGTTCGGTTTCAGTTTTAACCAATCCGTGGGGACCAGTTTGGCTTGGGATTTATCCCCAAACCGAACCGTGATCAGGCCTAAGCTACACCAACTAGGGAAAAAAAAGAAAAGCACTCTTCTGAAAGGTAAACATCAATTAAACGTGTAACCGTAAGGCCGAAATCCACTGTACCTGTTACCTACCACCTCTGTAATTAATGCTCACCCAGGCTTTTTGCCATTTCCAAAACAAACTTTTTGAACAACATAAGAATTTTTGGCCCAGGAATCTGTAAGTTAATGGGATGGAGGGGCATTTGACATGCCATGCAATAAGATTTTCCAATAATTAGATTTCACATTTTCGGAAAAAATAAAATGGGATTTTAACACACCTCAATCCATGTTGCCAGTTTAGGCCTGCCAGCGGTGACGTCATACTTCCATACATCTTGCAAAAAGACTTGAAACCTTTCCATAAATGGGGCATAGGCTATGTCCACCTGAAGATCAAAAATTTTAACCGTGAATCAGTGTAAGAATTGTCAACCACATGCACGCACACATTGGACTGCATGTGTCAAAACAAGCTCTCTTTATCCATCTGTATATCAAGAGATAAATGTATCTAACGTTATCTTTTACCATATTAAGAAATAAATGTATTTATTTAGTCTTTGCATGAAATATAAAAATTGAATATTTTAATTGGTTGATAAGAGCACCCATAAACACAGCATTGTCAAGAGAGTGATGAACCATGAATAAAAAGGTGCCTTCTTATTCAAAAGAAGGAAAATAACAGGAAAAAACGAGAGGGGACAAGTCACATACCTGACTGAATTGGCCAAGGAAGAAAGGTCCATCATCGAATTTGTGAAGAGCAGTTTCGATGTAATCAAAAGTAGGACCTGACACAGGTTACAGCATCTGGTTAAGTTTGTATATGAAAGTATTATCATTTCTTCCTCGGTAGATTCCATTACTTGGCAAATCTAAATTCTTACCAGCTTCTTTCACTGGGTCTCCTTTAAATGAAGTATATACCACCCTCATGAATGTGTCAGTGTAGGAAAACAATTCTTCAGCAAACTTCTGTTTAGCAGGATCCTACAACATTTTACACAATTACTTGTGTCAAAGAGAAAGAGAAAGAGAATGATAGAAAATTCATCAAAATAACTACGTATTATATGAATCTTACATTGGGTAGAAGTGCAGGCCCTTCAAAGTTACTGTCGATATATTTAATCAAATCTAGACTCTCTCCAATGATTTTGCCATTGTATTCCAATGATGGAACCTAAAAAATAAAAACTTAAATAATGAAAAAGAATAGAAAAATGATCAATTAGATGATATGCTGGTTAGCCATTGAGTTAAAACCTGTTGAATTTCAACGCACTTAAATCCACCCTGGATTTACAACGTAGGTTATTTGAAAAAAATCTGGCTGGTATCTTGTGTTTCACAGTCAACTACTAAGTTATTTGTTTTTTGATGGATAAATTTCATAATAAAGTCTAGGAAGTTCCTCTCACTCCTTACATCATCCGTGTTATAACACATTTAGTTAACCATCTAGAATTAATTCGATTAGTTATTAATCATTCTATGTATAGTTAACCATCACAATTAATTCCTTGAGCTATCAACATGTTTTGCAGTATATGAGATTGTGAAAAAAATAAAAACACCATGATGTACTTAATAATTGGTACTCGGATGATAGTCCAACAGAAGCGTATTGTATAAGAGATGTAGTATTACCTTATTTTCAGGGTACACTTTCTCTTTGTACCAAGCGGGTCTGTTTGAAAGGTCAAGTGGAACCAATTTGATTTTGTCTTGTAATCCCTGCAAGTAATTTGAAGATAATTAACTTATATAAACAATTCCATTTTGTACCAACAACAACAACAATAATGCTATGTTTGGCCGCACCACGACTTGGATTTGGGATTGGAGAAAAGTTAATGCAAAATTTAAACTAAACTTCCTCTAATCCTAAATCCAAGGCACCGATTCGGTGCTCCCAAACATAACATAAGCCTTTTTCCCAATTACTCAGACTACATGAATCCTATGTTCCCATCCTAATACCATAATCTCAGTCAAACCACATGATATGAATCCTTCTTTTATCTTACCCAAATTATTACCCTTAATGCGGACCATGTCACTCTTTATAACTAACACATTTATAGGTTTGTTTTGCACATGTCCAAACCATCTTAACGGATTTTGTCACTTTATCTCTATTTTGTACCAATTTGATTTTAATTTAATTTTTTAAAAAATAAATCAAACAACATAAAGAAAATGGAGTTATCCAGACAAAAGTAACTGCCTAAAGCTATAAACGTATACACACTCATATATATATATATATATATATATATATATATATATATATACAAATACAGGCATACAAATACAAATACAAATACAAAATCATTGTATCACTCTGTAGTGTAACACATGGTAAAAGAAGTTGCTTTTGAAAGTTTCAGAATCAGAACAACAACAAAACAAAAAACCGAAGCAGATTAATGAAAAGAAGAAAAACAAACCTTAGAGTTACGAGTGATCCACGCGCGTTGCGCAAATGGGCATGTGTAACAGGTATACAACCTTCAAAAGAAAATCAAACCCATTTTGATTGTGAGATAAATTATGTAAATCCATAAACCAAATTCTTGAAACATACCAAAATTGTGAAAATTCCCAATTTAAAAATAATCAATAAAATGCAGAAAGAAATTAAACCTTGTAGTTCCATCAAAGAGGGCAGGTTGGTCAGAAGTGGAATTCAGAGGAGTGGGAAGAACCTCTTGCACGCATCTGTGAAATCAGAAGTACAAACACAATTAAAATACATATATATATATATGATCATTATAGACGGATAGATATACATTTATCTACGTGATCATTATAGACGGATATGTATATATATTATTATATATATGTAGAATAAAAAAATTATGGAACCTACGGTGTCGCCATTACTACCGTTCTTGTGAGATTTCAAGTACTGATTGTTTTTCGAATTTGGATAAAATGGGATCGAAATCTCGACGGTTTTTGTAGTGAATTCTATAGTATGAGATCGTGAGCAGTGACGAAAGTAGTAAACAACGTGTAGTATAGAATAGTCCAGAAATAGTGGTGAAATTCCTATTTTGTCCTAGTGATGATGTCGGTGTTGACGTTGCATATATATGTTTAAAGTCCAAAACATGGACCAAAAAAAGTAAAAACTATAAATAGATACTACTATATATAACCATACTTAAGATAAGACCAACAAGTTCTAAGAATTCATAAAATTTTATTGACTTTATTTATTTATTGGTAAGATTTGATGGTTTTATTTATTTAAATGTAATTTTTCTAAGAAAATCACATGATGATATTTAAAACTAGTAATACAATATTTCTTTGTCTAGGTTCCGTTTATTTGGACGTAAAATATTTTTTAAAAAATATTTTTTTATTTTTTTGTATTTGGTTGTCATAAAATATTTATAAACAAAAAAAATTTTAAAATTTAACAAAAATAACTTATTTATTAAATTTTCGCAAGTTATTTTACATGTTCCGTCCGTTGGACTTGACCTTTATTTTACCTAAAAGATAAAAATATTTTTCAAAAATAATATTTTACGTCCAAACAAACATTCATTGAATTAAAGTAAAACAAAACTCCTCTCTAACCAAATATTGAAGGAGACATATGTCTTTTTTTTTTTTACATAAGTGACTCACCGCATATTTGATGAATTATGAAAATATAATAATAATAAATTAATTTATGATTAGTTTAACCAAAAGAAAATTAAATTAATGTTCTAGTCACTTTCAAATTATAGAGATAGGGTTGGACTTTGAAGGCAATCTTTTTCTTAAAATAAGTTAAAAGGAATATGGCATGCGATGATGTGTATTATTTTGTGACATTATCAAGTACGCATCATACTGTACGTGATATTGTCGTACTAAAATTTTTCTTCTGCCTTAGCAGCAGTAGTTGGTCAATGCAAGGGCCGTCATGAGATTCTCAAACTTTTCCTTTTCTTTTAGCAACCGTAGTTGGTCAATGAAAGGGCGGCCCGGGTTTCTCAAAATTTTAAGAAGGATTTAGGCAAATTTTCAAATCTAAGGCCTTTTTTATATAAGATTTCATGCTAGTAAAAAATTTATGGCGAAATTTATATTAAAATTAGACGATTAACACATAAAATATATTAAGGTTGAAAAACACAAAGCAAAAATTGGTCTTGATACTTTATAAAGAGCACAATCTAATTTATATTAAAAAAAAATTTAAAATATTCAACACAACTTAGTCACAAAAATTAAAATTCAAGTTCATATTGTGACCGTCTTATATTTTGAGATGAAAAATTATAAACTAAAGTACTCTAATCACTGTCATAATTTTATTGTTCTAATTTGGCTGAGCTAAAAATTCGACATTTGATTACATGTATGAGTTTAAAACGTGATTGTTTGAACTCGGCTTAACTATATCATGCATGCACGTGAGTTCAAAACTAATATAATAATAAAAGAAATCAATTTCTTGTTTAAATATATATATATATATATATATATATATAAAATCATTGTTTCTTTTGAAGGAAAGGGATACAAACAAATTATTTTTGGGTTAAGTGTAAAAAAAAAAAAAAATCCATTTTATTACCGATATAGTACAAAAAGATCCCCATAAGATATAAAATTTCTTATGCCTACATTATCAATTTGGTACAAATAAGTCCCTGTGTGGTATAAAATGATAATAATATCCTCACTTCAGTTGAATAGATTAATAACTATAAATTAAGGTAATGTAAAATGACCCTTTTATCTAATTTGTGTATATTATTATTATTAAAAAAAGAAAAATAATAATAATAACAATGCTTCATGGACTTTGATCCACGCCTGTTGACTTGGTGTTCCTTCCTTTCCGTAATAATTTCATTGGAATTGCCCTGAAATCTCCTCCACAAACACCATTGTTTGTGGCCAACAACATTTTGATACTATTTTATTAAAAAGAAAAAGTTAAAAAATAAATTAGTTCTCTCTCTAACAAACCTCACCCTCTCCTCACCACCACCGCCGTCCGCCACTCACCACCCTTTCTCATTCTCTCTGTCTCTCTTTCTTTGCCCCTTCACAAAACCCTAAAGCACAAAAAATGTCATCATCAATTCAACCTCAATCCATATAAAGTAAAAAAAAAAAAAAAAAAATTCCACCACACAAAATAAGAATCTCAACTGAAACCATCAATTTCATCATCCCAGTTTGCTTATTCTCTTCTTTACTACACATATTGCTCAAAGACAAAGATGAAAAAAATGCATGAAAGGACCATTGGCTTTACAGATCAAAGCTTTTCGCAAAGAGATCTTCGTCACCCTGCCAGGTCATTTGCTCTTCTCAGCTCCAATTCTCTCCGCAGTTTAATAGTAAGTTTCTAACCTAACACGCGCGGGGGATACGGATGAGGGCAAAATAGGAATTAATAGGATAAAATAGAGTTTTCACATTTAATTTTTGTTAAAAAGTAGTCAGAGAACTTATTTGAACTTTTTTTTGAATTTTATGAACTAACATGCACATTTTAAAAATGTATGGATTAGTCCTGCACAAACTCAGATTTTTTTGCACTTAGCCCATTATTTTTACCATACAAATTATTATATTATATATATAAATTGATATTATAAGAATACCTTTTTTGAATTTTATAAACAAACATGCACATTTTTAAAAAATAAAGATTAGTTCTGCACAAATTTAGGTTTTTTTTACACTTAATCCATTATTTTTATCATACAAATTATTGTATTATATATATAAATTGATATTAAAAGTATGTGTTTATTATCATAATTTTTATTTTTTTTTAATGTTATTCATTATCATAAATTTACATGATATATGATTATGTATTATATTTTAATTACAAAAATTATAGCCTAAAATGGATATCTTTTAATTGATTAAACCAATTATATTCAATTATGATAAGTGATGATATTTTATACATATACAACTATATAATATTAGGATATTAAATTTCAAATCCTTCCAAATTGAAGGCGCGACCGCCTTGATCCCTGGTCAATGGTGAAAGTTCATACTCAAACTAAATCCATAAATCCATGACAAAGATTCGACAATCACTTGGTAAAAAATAAACAAGTATTCAAAATTGTTGATTATAAATAAAGAATGCCCATCTTTCACAATTTTGTCATCGTTCCAACATGTTTGCCTTTTCTCACAGGATGTCCACTTCTATCTGTCATCTTGTTAAAATAGCCTCTCGCTCCATTCTTTATAATTGTTCACTTAATGTCCCGTTTGTTAATTTAATTGTTTAAAAAATTATTATACAATTCTGCACCATTGACAATTGGCCGTTCAATTTAATCAACACTTGAGTTCGTGTCAAAGGACATATTTATTACAAGAAATAAATAAACACTAAAATTTATTTTAGATTGGATCATCAAGTAATATATGATTCTATCTAAAAACTTCTTGTTTCTGTAGCCTGTATTTTCAGATTTCAATATATTAATGTTTTACTAAATGAATGGATGACAAAATGTGAAATAAGAACAAAACCAATAAAATTATTCACATCCCATTTCCATCAATTTTATCCCTTTGCTCTCTTTTACTTTCAACCCCAGAAATATAACAGCCTCGTGTGAAATTACTTCTTGCCATCTTCGTATGTATTTAGTTTATTTGGTCAAAATTTGAAATTTAAAGACACTAATTGCAGCATCCTATGAAAACATAGAACTATTTTAAGGAACTGAATCTGTTGGTGGTCTCTTTGTTGATTCAGTGATATAATCAGGGATTTGGTTTCACATTAATCACAAAGTTCACACACAAAACTACACTGTATTTGTCTGTAACTGATCTTTAGTCTCCAAGAACCATAAGGTATCATATCTCATAAATGAAAGATAAGAATACAAATTTAAACATAACAAGGAACATAATAACTTTGATCATTAATAGAGACAATGCCATCCACAACTTATGATATGTACCCCAGGCTCACAGAGACAAAGACACTTGTGCTTACACATAAAGCAACTTATTTAGTACAACGTATTACTTCTACAACACCATCACCAACATTTTCACAACTAGGCCTGCAAGGAAAATAAATTTTATACATCAGTTCTCAGTATAAGCTCTCCTCCCCAAATGGGGAGGTCAAACGTTCGAGTCTCGGAGTGTGTTTGCTTCCAACTCTCGAATTTTTTTTTTATAATTTCTCACAACTAAAGAAAATCCAAAGGAATTGTTCTTTTATTAAGGGAATGAGGGTTTACCAGAAACCTCTTAAACACCTCAATAATCTCCTTGGGATCAAGTTTTGTTTGGTTGTAAGCATCAATCTTATTGATCTCCTGCACAGGTTAAGTACCAAAATCTTTGTTAGCCTAGGAACTGCATCCCCTCATATTCTTACTCAAATAAGTACATTCTCCAAAAATTTAACCAGATTGTCCAATCAAAATGCAGGCAAATAATGACACTGCGCTCACAAAAAATGTATTAAAAAATATTTTTTTCACCACAAAGAAACAGCCAACAGCTTTCATAAGAGAATTTGAAAAAGTAGTTGAAGCAAAAGATATCTAATCATTTTTTTTTAATAAGTAATTTTTTTATAAAATGCGCTCAAAAGGGGTGTGAATCCCAAAGAAAGAAACACACAAGGCCAAAAAGCGCCTCAAGTCTTCAAAGAGGCCAAAAAAAACAACAGTCTCCTCTACAAATCTATAATTTTTCCCTGAAACCCAACAAAAAAGAGTGGAGATAATAGAGTACTTAAACATAGAAATAGGCTTCTCCTTTCCATCAAAATATCTCCGATTTCTCTTGAGCCAAATGCACCACCAAATACAAAGAGGCGTAGCCCTCCAAGCACCCTGAATGAGAGCCCCCACTGAAACCTCTCCATGCCTCAATCAACCCTCTAGAGGATCTAAGCATAACCCAAGGAATCCCAAATAACCCAAGCATCTAATCATGCACATGTCACCATCTCTTTGGAGTAGGGATGGCAATTGGACGGGTCATGAATGGGAGGGTCATGAACCCGTTAATGACCCGTTTGAAGTGGGTCATGAATGGGTGGGGTATTAAATGGGCAAGTCAACCCACATCTAACTTGATGACCTGATTTTTTAAAAAAACCTAAAATAATAAATAAAAAAATTATACACAAATGTCTTGTTTGTAAAAAAAAGGGTTAGTTCATATCAAACCTAAATTCTAATAATCAATATTTGGATTGACTAGGATCCTAAAAAAAAAAAATTATGATATGGTTTTAAAAGCTAAAAATTTCCAACTATAAAAGCAACTATGATTAACTAGTCTCTTATAGTTAAATTAAATAAAAGAAAATTCATAAAAATAAACTTTTTTTTTTCCAACAGTTTTCATTGTTGCAACATTTTTAACTACAAACATTGGAATATCTATCTGACTATATAATGGAAATATATGTATATATATATTCCATTTTAAATAAAAGCTTAACCCATACTTTTGTGAAAGCAGAATTCCTTTACAACATTTATACATATATACAGAAAGCATCTTTTTTTCAGATTAACTAACCTTAATAAATACTATAATCTTAACCCATCAAAGTTGCATAGCAGTGATTAAACATAAACTAACAAAGAATGGTGCAACGAAAAAAGAAAAAAAATAGTGAAACATGATGACACTGTAGTTTCTTCTTTTTATTTAAAGAAAACTTTATAATATAAAATTGAAAGAATACTCAGCTCTAAGTTAGTTATAATTTTGATTTCTGAAATACTATGCAAAACACATCAAAACACACGAATTTATGCTTTAAGCAGAAAATAAATGAGAAAATAAATTTTATATTATTTGTTTCCTTTTCATTTTTATCTCCTTAAATGTGAACAAAATAAAATCCTACTCATAGTTTGATAAAAAAGACTTGATGAATTAATACAGGTTGAAGCAAGTTTAGGATCAAGTTCTACCAAAGTTTGAAAACAATTACTAGTATTAATTTGTATCATATATATATATATATATATCCATATGCTAGCTGCGGAAACTGAGGAAATATCAAAACCCAACAACTTTCTCTCACTACATCTTTCTCTTTCTCGCAAAATCACTTTCTGGGCAGAGCGCAACGTGTATGACTTAATCTATGTTTAGGCGGTGGGTCCCTACTCTCAACCGCTAATGACTCGCTAATTATATCATTCATTGCCAATTGACCCGTTTGTCACCCACCCACTTAAATCACTCGCCCAAAACTCATTAATTAGTAGGCGGATTTGGACGGGTTGGCGGGTTTGGGCATATAATGCCACCCCTAATTTGGAAGTAGGATCCGGAGTTACAAACCAAAGTAGGTACATCAATAATGCTTATGCCTTGCTACAATGTTAACCATATCTAAACATATTTAAGCATAAAAGAATCACTAAACATATTTAAGCACAGAAGCATCACTTCCAAAATTGTTTGGTTGCTTCCAAGGTTTCGAAAATGACTCTGCAAATCAGCTACACCAAAATGCCGATAGAAGCAATAAAAATAGCTTCTGCAATGACACTTCTTTTTTCCTTAAGTAACCCTTAAGTAACCCGAACACCATAAACTCACAACAGATGTTCAAAAAACTTAACCTGGCCCATATGGCAGAATCAACTTCGTGACCCCGACATTAGGCTATAAATTATATTAACAAATTCATAAAAGCTCTTCTGAAAGGCAAACATCAATTAAACATGCAACCACAAGCCTGAAATTCACCGTATCTATTTCCAACCACCACCTCTGTGTTAATTCTCTCACCCAGGCTTTTTGCCACTTCCAAAATAAATTTTTTGAACCACAAAAGTATTTTTGGCCTAGGAATCTGTGCGCTGATGGGTTGGAGGAGCATTTGACATGCTATGCAACAAGCTTTTCCAATAATCAGATTTCAAATTTTCTAAAAAAAATAGAATTGTATTTTAACACACCTCAATCCATGTTGTCAGTTTAGGCCTGCCAGCAGTGATGTCATACTTCCAGATATGTTGCAAGAAGATTTGAAACCTTCCAACAAATGGGGCATATGCTATGTCCACCTGAAGATCACAAATTATAATCATGAATAACTGAAGTATTGTTAACCACATGCATGCACACATTAGTCTGCAAACATGCACTCTTTATCCATTTCTATATTAAGTGATAAATGTATATAACAACGTTATCTTTTTCCAAATTATGAAGAAAACGTATTGTCCATTCCTTGGATGAAATAAAGGACATTTTAATTGGTTGATAAGAGCACCAATAAGCACAGCATTGTCAAGAGACATGAATAAAAAGGTCACATACCTTCTTATTCGAAAGAAGGAAAATAATAAAGAGGGCAGGTCACATACCAAACTGAATTGGCCAAGGAAGAAAGGTCCATCGTCGTATTTGTGAAGAGCAGCTTCAATGTAATCAAAAGTAGGACCTGACACAGGTTACAGATTCTGTTTAAGTTTGTATATAGAAGAATTATCATTTTTCCCAAGATAGATCCCATAACTTGGCAGGTCTAAATACTTACCAACTTCTTTCACTGGGTTGCCTTTAAATGAAGTAAATACCACCTTATTGAATGTGTCAGTGTAGGATAACAACTCTTCAGCAAACTTCCGTTTAGCAGGATCCTACAACATTTTACATTATTACCCGTGTCAAGTAAATTTTTTTTTTTTTTTTTTTGTTGGGGGGGGGGGGGGGGAGGAGGGGGAACAACTACCAAAATATTTGAATCTCACATCGGGTAGAAGTGCAGGACCTTCAAAGTTACTGTCAAGGTATTTAATCAGATCTAGACTCTCTCCAATGATTTTGCCATTGTGTTCTAATGCTGGCACCTAAAAAATAAAAACCTCAATATTGAACAAGAATTGAAAAATAATCAATTAGGTGAAATGCCGATAGCTATTGAGAATGATATAAAACTTTTGAATGAAATATCAAAAAAAGAAAAAGAAAAAAAGAAATGGATGAATTAGTGATGATATGCTGATAGCTATTGAGTTTTGAGAGTGCAAAATAGACATTATCATACTGAGTTAAGCAATTATTTAACTAAAAATTAGTGATGAATTATTCTGAATGTTAAATTATTACAATAAAAAAAAAAAAATGCAGGATGAGTAACTGGATGACATCATATGCTTCCTCTGGATTAAAACCTGTTGCATTTTGCCGTACTCAAAACCACTCTAGACTTGCCACCTAAATTATTATTAGAAAACCCGGCCGATATTTTGCAGCTTACACTCAATTACTAACTTCAATAAGATATTTTTTTTTATAGGTAAGTTTCTCATAATATTATTTGAGTTGGTAATTCATAAAGACTGAATCATCCAAAAAAGGGGCACACTACTCACTAGCTAGTTTTCATGCTGTCAAACTTTGATGTTGGGAAGGATAGAAATAATACCATCTTTTGCAACAAATATGAGATGGTAGAAAAACATAAACCACCGAGAAGTACTAAATAATTTGTACTTTAATGAATGTGAAACAGAGAAACATATTGTGTTAGAGATGTAGTATATATTACCTTATTTTCAGGGTACACTTTCTCTTTGTACCAAGCAGGCCTATCCGCAAGGTCAAGTGGAACCAATTTGATTTTGTCTTGTAATCCCTGCAAGTAACTCAAAACAAATTAACTTAATTTAATTTAAATCAGGTAATATAAACGAATGATAAAAAGTCCGATAATAGAACAGATCCGATTGATATATGTGGGTGGAGCAGATGATCTCACAAACATTGATGAAATCAGCCACCTCATATAAATCAATTAGAATTGTGAGACTTTCGAGACTCCAAATCATAATCGCAAGGAAATGGTATTAGCCATACAGACACACATAATTAACCGCATAAAACTCCAAAAATATATATATTATTCTATCACTCTGTAATTTAACACAACAACAACAAACAGGAGAAGAGTGATGAAAAGAGGAACAAGCAAACCTTATAGTTACGGGTGATCCACACGCGGTGCGCAAATGGGCATACGTAAGAGGTATACAACCTTCAAAAGAATATCAAACCCATTTTTGATTTGTGAGTAAAAAAAAAAAAAAAAAAATTAATAATAATGAAGAAAATAAACAGAGAGAGAAATTAAACCTAGTAGTTCCATCAAAGAGGGGAGGTGGTTGGGTAGAAGAGGAATTGAGAGGAGTGGGAAGAACCTCTGCCATTGCTAGTGTAGTTGTGAGATTTGAATAGATGGTTGATTGTGTGTTTCAAGTGGGGAATCGAAGGTTTTTATAGTGAAATCGACGACTGTGTGGATTCGTGAGCAGTGAAGAAATGAACGGCAGAAGCCTCGAAGAGAGTCTAGATACATTCACATTAGTTTTTTATTTTTTATTTTTAGTTGAAACATTCACATTGTTGGTTATCATATTCCTCCATTTTGTCTACTAAATTCTTAACTGATGATGTCGATGGTGACGTCGATCCTAGGGCCTGGGCTACACCTGTGCCTTCGGCCCTGTTTGGTTCTTTTGTTCTTGAACCAATAAACAGGGTACACGCATTGCATTTGTATAAAAGTGAGGTAGTTTAGTGACACACTTCACGTTTAGATTTATTACATTATTTATTTATTTTTTATTTTTTATTTTTTAACAATGTCAACCATATCATACTTAAAATCTCAAGCGACGTGACTCATAATGTAAGTAGGGTTAAGTGCAAAAAAAACTCCTTGATATATAGATTTTGTACCGAACAAGTCTCTATTTTTTGAAAAAGTTTATGCAAGTCCTCAAAATTCAAAAAAGGTACATAACTGGTCCCTCTGACAATTTTTTACAAAAAGTAAAACTTAAAATCCCATTTTACCCTTTTGTTTTCCATTTTGACCCTCACCATTTGTGCATAAAAGTCCCTCAGCGTTGTGCATAAAAGGCCCCCCCATACTGTGTTCAGCAGCCAAAATTTTGATATAGATATAGAAAAATATTAACAGAAAAAAAAGAACATTAACAAAAATAAATAAATTAAATTTCACGTTATCATCACTAGTAAAATATACCCTTTTCTTGTTTTTTTTATCAATAGGCAACTTTTATCTATTAATGAAAAAAAGGGAAAAAAAAAAAAAGAAAAGAAAAGAAAAGAAAAAAGACTGTGGGTACGTTTGGTTATGGAATTAAATTACAATTCTAGTTCAATTTATTATTTTTTAATTATATTAGAATTCTAATTCTGTTTGATTCACCTTTAGAATTTGTATGGATGTATGGAGTAATATTTATTTATTTTTTAACAAAAATATAATATTTATCTTATACTTATTAAATTATTATATATTATAGCAAAACAATATTAGCACCAATTTTGATTAAAAATGGCAAACATGCAAATATAGAATATATATATATATATATATATATATAGATACAAACCCAAAGAACCCAAGAAAAAGAGAGATGTAATATTTATTTATTTTGTAACAGAAATATAATATTTATCTTATATGTATTTATTAAATTATTATATAAGCAAAACAATATTAGCACCAATTTTGATTAAAAAGGCAAACGTCACGTGTAACGACCCTAACTGATGCCAAAATTTAAAAAAAATTCGGCATAACCTCCCCTAAAAATGGGCCTTCAACAACCTGTCCCAATACACAAAACACAAAAAATCATTTAGCATCCCATTCATCCGTTCATTATACCTTAACATAGTTCCTTTCATGGTGGAACATCCACACACCAATTAAATTAAATTATCATAATTACAGTCCCAAAATACAAGATTAATATTTAAAATCCCTGTCTTACAACGTTACATGATACAATTGCATGGAAACATATACCATAATTCAACTAGTTTCATTTACATCAAACAAAAGATAAGTTCGTTCTTAAGTTACAAGGCCATGAATACTAACTTAGTTACATTTCAACAACTATGAATATACATAGAATGGTCAAAATACAAAATAGCAAACAACCTTCTAACAACTTTCAAGTTTGCGGAGGATTGTCATCCGCCGTTTTTTTGCCATGACCTGAAAAAAATAATAAGTATGCAAGGTGAGCTATATGCTCAGTAGGTGACACTTAAGACACTTATCTTGTGTCCCTGTGAATCCAAACATAGAATAGGTCAATGAAAATGGGGATCATACAATATCGGGATAATACAACATTCCAATCAAACTTAAGTACAAACAATGCAATGCCATGAAATGCGAATGCATGCCGATGTCGCTCCCCGTTTTCACATTTAAAATCCATCACTTTCAAACTGTTAATATAACCCACCCTTTGGTGACTCCGCAGCGACACGAGAGGAGGATTGGCTAGTGTCCCTGACCCTTGGTAACCCCGCGGCGTTATTATGGGGCCCAGCTAGCTCAACCACGCTAGGGCGACTCCCTAGTCCCCTCTAGGCTATATTAACACTCCGGCCCTTTGGTACCCCCGCGGCGACCGGGTTTTCCAAAAACACTTTCATCAAAATACTTTTCCCCAAAACTCCCTATTTTCATTTCAAAAACAATCTTCCCGATCATGTCTCATGGTATGCATGTACATCATGTTCTTAATGCCATGGAAGTGAAGGCTTTCACATTATACAATTGTGCATACATTACAAGTACTCTAGGGAAATTAAACATGCCATCCCATATCATTCTAGCAAGTTTTACAACAATATAAGCATGGTAGATCAATTTATCAGACAAGGAAATTAGTCAAATAAACATGTTCTCATACAACTCAAGTAACACATTTAATCATAACCTCACATATAACACTTACATCATCTTTAATACAATTAATTCAAAAATAAGCATGCTTTTCAACAATTTAGGAGGTATAATTCACAAAAGAGCAAGAACATCATGAGTTAAAGGCCCCTACCTCAAGATTGCACAAAACCCTTAAAATGGGTCTTGAATTTCGAACTCCAAGAAGGGCACCAAATCTGGAATTGTTCGTATGGTTGCGTAGAGCTCGTCGTGGGCTTCGTTTTGCCTCAAACGGCACCTAAATCCGCCAAGAATTGAGAGAGAAATTAAGTCTTGAAGCTTGAAACCATAAAAAGAAAAAAAAAAAACCCAGAGAGCTTCTGGAATGAGAGAGAAGCTGATACGCAGAGAAGAAGCAATAAGTCATTATATTGGCTTATTAATCATATGGGCCCCACAGGTGAATAACATTGTATTTAACTTTAACATATATATATATATATATATATATATATATATATAAAGTTAAAAACATTACATTCTCCCTAACTTTAAAAGATTTCGTCCCCGAAATTAAGACATACCTAGAGAAGAAAACAATTCTGGATACTTGGAGCGAACCTCCTGTTCGAGCTCCCAAGTAGCCTCCTCGACTCCGTGGTATCTCCAAAGGACTTTCACCATTGGTATCGTCTTGTTCCTCAACACCTTTTGTTGTGTGTCAAGAATCTGAACTGGTCCTTCCTCGTAGGAAACATCCTCATCAATGTCTACATCAACCCAACTCAAAATGTGAGATGGATCTGGCTCGTACTTCCGTAACATCGATACATGGAAAACATTGTGGACCCTATCCAACTGTGGTGGCAAAGCAAGTCTGTAGGCAACCTCTCCTACACAGTCCAAAATCTCAAATGGTCCAATGAATCGTGGAGACAACTTGCCACTTTTCCAGAATCTCATCAATCCCTTCCGTTGAGAAACCCGAAGAAAAACATGGTCTCCCACCTCAAAGGATAACGACCGTCTCCGCTTATCCGCATAACTCTTCTGTCGGCTCTGAGCTGTAAGTAACCTCTGTCTTATCAGCTTAATCTTCTCAGTAGTTTCGAGTACAATGTCAGGTCCTAAGGCGGCTGTCTCGCCTACCTCAGTCCAACAAACAGGAGACCTACAAGGTCTACCATACAACGCCTCAAATGGAGCCATCTGAATGCTCGCCTGATAACTGTTGTTGTAGGCAAATTCAATAAGTGGAAGGTGATCCTGCCAACTACCACCCAAGTCAAGCACACATGCCCGAAGCATATCCTCCAAAATCTGGATAGTACGCTCCGACTGACCGTCAGTCTATGGATGGAATGCCGTACTCAGGTGCAACGCTGAGCCAAACGCTACTTGAAGTCCTTCCCAAACCTTCGAAGTAAACTTAGCATCCCTATCTGAAACAATGGTTACTGGAACTCCATGCAACCTTACAATCTCCTTCACATAAAGAACACCAAGCTTCTCTGCATCATCTGTTTCCTTAATAGGCAAAAAGTGAGCCGTCTTGGTCAATCTGTCAATGATGACCCATACGGACTCATTGCCCCTTCGTCACCTTGGAAGACCTGTCACAAAATCCATAGCAATATGCTTCCATTTCCATTGCGCTACAGGTAATGGTTGCAACAAACCGGCTGGTCTCTGATGCTCGGCCTTCACCTGCTGACAGGTAAGACATCTAGCCACAAACTGTACAACATCTTTTTTCATCCCTTTCCACTAATACTGATGTCTCAAATTTTGATACATCTTGGTACCACCTGGATGAACTACAAAGCGGGAAGTGTGAAACTCCTGTAAGACGTCTTCACGACAAACAGTAGGAACCACCAACAAACCCCTGAACCGTAGACCCCCATCTGTATACAAAGCCCAATCTTTCACTGTCTCACCACTGGAGATCAAAACGTGAATGGCATCTAAATCTGGGTCCTGTCTCTGTGACTTAATCACTCGTACAACAAGAGTAGGCTGAGCCATAAGACTAAACAAGAATGCCGGCTCGCTGTCAACATCATCATCAAAACAATACAATCCCATCTCTGTCAAATCCTTAAGCATCTTCCACTTCCGAATAACCAGACAGGCCAAAGTTCCACGAGATTTTCGGCTTAAGGCATCTGCTACCACATTTGCCTTGCCCGGATGATACTGCAAGTCAAAATTATAATCTTCCAAGAATTCAACCCATCTTCCTGTCTATTGTTCAAGTCCTTTTGGGAGAAAAGGTACTTGAGACTTTTATGATACGAGTACACCTCGAATCTTTCACCATACAAGTAGTGTCTCCAACACTTCAAAGCAAACACAACTGCCGCCAACTCTAAATCATGAGTAGGGTAGTTATACTCGTGAGTCTTCAACTGTCGAGACCCATAAGCCACCACTCTACCATCCTGCATCAACACACACCCTAAACTATCACGTGAAGCATCACAATAGATCACATAACTGTGATACCCCCGAATTTCCGAATGCGAGTTGGCCAGGCCCACGCCCGAATACTCGAGGATATCAAAACAAATTGATAATAAACGAACACAGAGTACAAAAGAATAAAGAAGAATAAATAAAATGCTGACAAGAAACTAAAATGATAATCTAATAATAAGCCTCATAATATATTTCCATTAATTAATAAACT